GGGATTAGGGTAACAGTTAATCAAAGGCACAATCACTTTAAGAATCAAGTAAGAATTAAGTAAGGATTAAGTTCTCTTCGTTTTCATGTTGATATGTTATATCCGATTTAGATTCTGAGTCCAAATCGGGTATTCGATTCGGCACAACAATAGTTTTAACAATTGCTGCGTTGGTAAATCACGTTTTGTCATGTTTTTGACAGCTTTTGAAGCGTGCTTGCACTAAATCATTTGTGGCGAATTGCCACTGCTCTGCAGTTAGTCAAAATTCAATACACAAGTTAAAATTCAAAGTTGATGGATAAACTACCGTAATCAGCCACTAGACGATATTCAGTTGTCCGTTTTTGATAGCGTGTGTACTTAGAAACCCATTATTTAAGCTTTGTTTTGAGTCAGTTGTGGGCTCCCTTTCCAATTTATCCCTTTTTTCTCACGCAAGTGTTGAAGTAACTGTGATAGTGCCAGATTGCTCCAGTTTGAGCGAAGTTTGCCCTTATTTGGAACCATATTGGAACCATATTGGAAGGAACCTCATTCGAACCATATCGGAACCATATTGGAACCACATTGGAACCATATTGGAAGGAACCTCATTCGAACCATATCGGAACCATATTGGAACCACATTGGAACCATATTGGAAGGAACCTTATTCGAACCACATTGGAACCATATTGGAACCATTACTATTTAATAAGGGAAAGTTTCGATAAATTGTGCGTTTTCAAGACATCTACCATTGAACCATACTGAGACACGGTCTCACGAGAAATTACAAAGATTAAAATATAAATATATTTCTTACATCGTTATCAAAAACAAGGTCAGAAGCAAAACCCCATAGCTTTTGCCGAATTTGTCCATTTTTTAAGTAAAAGTATACTAATTTTTATCATTGATGTCTTCAAATTGTATCAAAAACTATCAAAAACATGATATATCAAAGCAGCAATCATTAGAACTATTGTTGAGTCTAAATCGGATAAAAATCTAAATCGGATTTGGCAGATACCTAATCTGAATAAGACACGATACTGTTAGACTTGTTTTACTATGCTTATCCTCTACAGTTTTATTTAAAAGCCAATTCCTGGTCGCAAGCCAATTCACGAGCCAGTTACGAGTAAAATGTTCTCATTATTAGATTTCAAAACTGTTTACCAGTCAGAAAGTTTGACTCTAGAAGCAATTTTGGTGGAAGAAAAAACCTCGATGAGTAATGATTACCAATCTGGAGTAATGATGAGTAATGGGTAATGATTATCAATCTAGAGTAATGATGGGTAATGGGTAATGCTTACCAATCTGGAGCATTGATAAGTAATGGGTAATGATTATCAATCTGGAAGCATCGGTCCCTAGCAATTTTCAAAAATATTGCTTTCACAAAGTCGTTTATCCGGTAGAAAAGCAGAAAAGCAAAGAAAAAACGATTTTTATCACACAAGTTTTCCCTTGTTTCCACTATAAAACTCGTGTTTTTTGTGTTTTCGATTTTTCCACCTTTTCCCTTTAATCATTTTTATCTTTTATTCTTTCACAACCAGAAAAAGGAACACTTCTTTCTTGCAATTTCTTTTTTAGAAAAAAAAGCGATCATGAAATCTGTTTGTTTGAATATTTTGCAAAAAGAACACTTCTTTCCTGCAATTTTAGGCAATTTTCTCTTTCGTTTTTCCCTAGAAAATGTTTTTCCCTATGATGTGATCTTTTTTTGAATCAATGATCAGACTTTGAAGATGAATCTTTTGATTTTGAAAGAAAAGATGAATCTTTTCATGAAAAGATTCAGATTATGAAAGATTTCACATGTTTACATGATTTTACATGATTTTACATTAATTTCTACATGTTCTTTTACGAAATTTCAAATGTTAACTTTCAATTATATTTGCTTTTGCCAAAACGATTTAAAAGATTGCCAAAAGTCAAAGCTAAACTTCTTTCTAACTCTTAAAACTCACTCTTAAACTTATGTTTTAAAGTTTTTGCTTTAACCAACTTAAGTTTTAGTTTTTGCTTTAACCATTTGATCTTAAATCTCTTAGACACCGCCGCTTGGTCACGGATTTAAAAGAATGTTTCAAAATTGTAAACGGCAGGCAACCTATTCCACTTTTTCGAGATTTCTTCAAAGTTAATCCCAGGGTTAGCTCAAGGAGAGGTTTGTTGTCACCTTCCGCCCACATCTTCAAGCATAGGCTGCAGTCTTGAAGCATATGCTGAAGTCTTGAAGTATCGTTTATTAGTTAGCAATTTGCCTACTAGATCTTTGACAAGCTTTGGCAAAATCTTTGACACAAACTTTTGCTTTTTGCTTTTTCAGTTTAGCAAATTTCGTGCTCATTGCTTATCGCTGGAAAACAACAGGCTGGCTGTCTTTTGGGGGGGATTTTCTAGAAAACACCACGTGGTGCACGCGAGAAATTTCTGCTCTTTTCACGCAAAAATTGTGAGTGTAGATCGCTCATTTTTTGATCACTTTTTGCGTTTGGAATTTTTGGAATTGAAATTTTTTGGCTAAATAAGTTTTTCTTTATGAAATGGATACCTTTATAATGTAGACCGGGGTTACCGGTGATTGATTTTGCACACACATAATCACAATTTACACATGAAGACCTAGGGAGTATTCTATCGTTTGTGAGGATGGGACTATGTAGGAGAGGATGTAGAAGAGGATGAGGGGAGGATGTAGGAGAGGATGTAGGAGAGGATGTAGGAGAGGATGTAGGAGAGGATGTAGAAGAGGATGAGGAGAGGATGTAGGAGAGGATGTGGGAGAGGATGTGGAAGAGGATGTAGGAGAGGATGTGGGAGAGGATGTAGGATGAGAAGCTTTACATGAGCTTGCGCCTTAGACAAGTCTACCCATTTGGATCCCTGGTTATCCCAATCCGGAGGGGAAGGGGCCTAGGGGAACCGGTCTTGGGAACCAGTTCACCATATAAGTGCGGTTACCTACAACACTCGGTTCAGGGAATCTATCCCTGACTCATCTGCTGGATTCGAACCAAAGACTAACCGAGCCCAACGTTACTTAACTTGGCTCTGCAACAGATCTCTGCCCGGATACCACGTTTCAAAGTGACGAGGCCGTAGTCGTAACTGTAGCAAGCAAGCAACGCAAGCTTAACTGTAGTCTACATATCTTTAATCAAATTGAGGCTAAATTTTACTTTTAGATTTTGAGGCTAATCATATTTTTATTTTCACTTAATCATTTAATTTTCTAGAACGTTTACTAAACGGTTCATAAGCTAAACATAAAAATCATCAACATCATAAATAAACGGTTCATAAACATCAAATAACCACAAGCTTTTACATTTCTATGCAACTAATCCGATCAGTTCTCCAGAAAGAGTGTATTTCTGTTTTTTAAGCTTAAAGTAGAACCTTCTAGTATTCCTCAATTAACTCTTTTCCAGCTAAAATTCTTCTACTCTGCCAGAGATCAAAATTTGCTCTCTGCTCTGAAATTTGCTTGTAAATATGGCTCACTTTTTGATCAGTTTTTCAGCTTTTCAAAGGTCAATCCTCACACATAAATCTCTCTGTTTACGGCTAAGTGGAGCGGATTTTCGAAAGTAGTTCGAGCACATAAAACTTTCTGAAAAAACGTCACTCAGAACTTGTGCGTTTTTGCAAAAATCAGTACATAAATGACCGATCTAGCATGAGCATAGCTTTTCATGTTTTCTGTTCTCTTTAATGCTTTCTGGATGAGACGGTTCCACACGTCTCGACGTGTACGACGTATACGTATACTCCATCTGGAGTAATGGTGATTAAGTGCGTTATGGTGTAATGGTTAGCACAGTTGTTAGCACAGAGTGAAAGGCTCGAGTCCCGGTGGCGCACTAGTTTTTGATCTGCCCTAGTTCCAACTACCCTACTATTATGAGAAGTGTCACTCAAAGTTTGATCAGTACAAATGTCTATTGTCAGCTGTTAGTTACTGTAGCGGTAAGTTTCTAAATAATTTTTATGCTATTTCATCTGCTCAATTTTAGCACAGTTGCCCGGTGAACGAAAGGTTGCGGATTCGAGCCCAGGCCGCGCACAAGTTTTTGATTTGCCCTAGTTCTAACTACGAGACATCAGCTAAGATGTTGGTTCAACTCAGATAGTGGTCAAATGATTTGACGACCTATGGAAATACCATCTTCTCTCTAATAGTAGTGCACCCTGAGCGTCGCCTAAATTGCTCGAAATCTCGAGACCTGCTTATCAGAACCTATCGATGTGGGGACGGAAAATGTAGCTGACGATGAGATCTAGTGGGGGATTTGAGTGTTGAGCTTCTGCGAAAACTTAGAAACCGTAAAATAGTCACCAACTCGGCTCGGCCGGGTGCACTACTATTAGAGAAAATACGGTACGTTGCAAGCTCAAGAATTCCCAGCCGAATGGTGATATTTCACGATTTTTATAGATTTAACATGACTAACAGCGAAAATTTTTCGTCACGAGTTCTGCAAAAAAGTGCAAACCCAAGCTAATCAAAAGCGAAAAATATGTGATTCTCGAAATCGCGAAAACTAAAATCTGAACATAGAGAACAGTTGTGGGGGAAAAGGGCATTCCCGAAGGTGATCTTTTTGGAGAAATTTTTGCTCACGTGCTGTTTTTCCTTTCTCTCTCCAGCTTTTTCCATTTTTTTTCCAGCTTTTTCTGATTTGTTTTCACCAAAAACAACATCATAAAGCTCAACAAAAGACTCTAATTGGCTGAAATTTGTGCAATTTGTGCAATTTTTGCAATTTTTGCAATAAAATTTTCTTTTGTTGCAATTTTTAGAGATTTCCTTCTTAAATAGTACTTTTTTACTTTTAAAACAAAGCATTCAGAACCAAAAAGTTTCCATATCTGTAACTTTAGTGTTATTTTTGAGATTCTGATTCTATTTTCTATTTTCTATTTTTTATTTTCCTTTATTTCATTCTTTTCATATTCTTGTAAACTTTTACAAGCAAATTTTAGATTATAAAAGAATGGCCTTCATGATGCCAGTGATGCGAAAAGAGTGGGGCACACAACTCTACGGATTTCCGAGAAGGTTTCTTTTAAATTGACAGTGAGATAAGTATGTTCAGTGCATTAGAAAAATGGTAATCTTGCTAGTAGGAGGTTGAGGTTGAGGTTGAGCACGATGTGTTCGATTGAAAAGGCTGAATATGATGTGTTCACTATGCTGACTTTATTGACCGTTTTAGTCAAAATCTCAAGAAGGCAATAGTGAGTTTTAGCACTTGCGAGCAGAAGAAGCGGAACATTCAACTGAACAAGGTGGCCGCTGCTCAACAATTAGGTTGGTACTGACTTAACCAAGGCTAAGTTAGAGTGGCTTTCTTTGGATAATGGGCTTCTAAAAGACAACTATTTTGAAAATTACCGTTATCAAGTCACCAGTTTTCATTCAGTCTTTCATTCGTATTTAATTCAAGTTTTCATTCAAATCACCAGTTTTCATCAGCCCAATTTTGCACCATTCACTGAGCCTTATGAATCCCCATCGAATAATACCAAAGTTGGTCGATAAAAACTGGCTTTGAACACAGTAGGTTTCTAAATAGAGTGTCCTCCTCGCAAGTAATGCCTTTTTTTTAAAACGCATACTTAGGAAAAATTATCGTAGTTCTAGCGAAAATTATTGCAAAAAAGTTGGCGCAAAAATCACGAGCGCCGCCTTATATACGACTTCTTTTAAAGATATTCAATCGTTCAACTAATTTGGTGGCAAATTCCCTTCAAATGTAAAGATATTAAATTTACTCGACGTGTAAAGAGGATTACTCGTAGTTACAAAATTAATCGAGCGCCGATTAATCGAGTAAAGAATACTCATGCAAATTTTACTCAAATAGTTACTTACTCATGAGGAACACACTCTAGCAACCACCACGCTTACACCTTAATAAAGCCTTGAATGGTTTCCTAATGAATTTGTTTCCTATTATGCCAAGATATTGGGTTAGTGGAAAAGTCCTTTCCGATTTTTTGGGAGAGTACCTTAAATTGGTCCAATTTTGACGTTTTATAGCTCATCCTAAAGCTGAATTCAAGACGGATCGATTAGTAAAAACCGTTTTGAGATATCTCTTTTCTAAAAGTTTTTACAGCTATTTTAGTAAAGGGCGGCAGAGCCAAAAAATGGCTGTTTTCACGTTTCGTTAGTTTTCCGTGCAGAAACCTAGGCTAAAAATATGTGTTTCGTAATTAGCGTCCAAAATAACCCCTAGACACGCATTTTCAGAATCTTAGCAAAAAATTTTTGAAAAATATTGTCACCGGTGGGAGTCGAACCAGCGACCCTCAGATCAATAGCCTTTCCGCCGCTTTTCGCGATTTTCCTTCGTTTTTCTCGTTTTTTTTCAGCTTTAGGAATTCAGCTTTAGGATGAGCTATAAAACGTCAAAATTGGACAAATTTAAGGTACTCTCCTCCCAGAAAATCGGAAAGAACTTTTCCATCAACCCAATACAATTCATTCAACAAATCAAATCAATTCATTGCTTAATTCAAAAATCAATCAAATCTTAACTAATGAAAGTAACGAGATCTTAGAAGTTCATTGAGTAGTTTTTTAAATGCTCTTTTTCCACTCATTCCGAGTGCCGCAATTTCTCAATAAGAGGAACATCTCTCAACCCTTGCTGACCTTGAAACTGAATCAGGAGCGCCGCCTTATATACGACTCCTTTTAAAGATATTCAATCGTTCAATTGATTCGGTGGCAAATTCCCTTCAAATGCAAAGATATTAAATTTACTCGACGTGTAAAGAGGATTACTCGTAGTTACTCGAGCAAACAGCGCCGATTAATCGAGTAAAGAATACTGATGCAAATTTTACTCAAGTAGTTACTTACTCGTGAGCACTTACCCATTACTTACTCACTCTATTTCTAAAATTGATTCCTTTTAGAAAACGCATTGTTCGAGAGCTCTCTAGTCTTGTTAAGGCACGCGTTTAAACGAAAAAAATTGAGAGAAAGTGAGTCAGTGCTCTGATAAGCCATTGTCAGCTATTGAAAAGCTCTTGTACAATAAAAATTATGTTTTTGGATTATGCTTTGGATTAAATGCTTATCTCCACAAAGATCCATTGACTCCAGGAATTGCCAGAATGAAATTTTTGCAATGAAAAGCTCGAAAACCAAGCAATAACGTTGATGAGATGGGCGAAAATTGAAAAGAGGAAAAATGGAGGGAAATTATTTATTTCCCAGCTTTCATTCAGCTTTCATTCAAAAAAGAATTGCTTTTGGAGATTTGACGTTGCAAAAATTGGGGAAAAAAGTAAATTCCAAAAATTCATCAAGCACTTTTTCATTGAGCTCGATTTAGCCCTGTCTGCTCATTACTTACTGATACAGTAGACGAAAAAGGCTCACATTTTGTTCAATTTTTCATTCATCTTCTTGTTGTTGCCTTAGAGCTGAGTCTTTCAACGTTGGCAAGTTAATTAGAATGTTAGAAAGATCACCTTAATCAATCTTTCGCAAGTGATTTCAAAAATCCAGCGCAATCCACACTCTACTCTAGAGCCAGATCAGTGCTCACAGTTCATATTTTCGATTTGATACAATTGAATTTCGATTTGGCTTACCAGATTGTCACTACTTGATCCACAATCTAGCACAAGGCTTATAATTAGATCTTGTTTCATTAGTCCGATTATTCTTTGGCCCAGTTTGTTAGATTATTGGGTTGGTGAATTGAAAACTGCCGGCTATTGTCATATGTGACAGTTTGAGCACTTTCTTCAAAAGAAACCCATTTTGGTGTCAATGGAAAAGTTGTAGAGAATCAAAAATTAAGCTTATATCCAGATTTTCAGAACGATTCAAAAACTGGTTTTCAAGAAATGCCAAATTTACGAATTTTCACAAAACTTGCATTTTAAGCGAAACTACTAAGTGTATCTTTTTGGAAATTTGGCTATAAGCCTAATTTTTGATTCTCTACAACTTTTCTATTGACACCAAAATGGGTTTCTTTTGAAGAAAGTGCTCAAACTGGGACATATGAACATCTCCAGTCCTCGATTTTTGAGTCTCACACTTGTCTCACACACAAACCAAAATCCTACTACGAAAGAATCCGCAAATTGCCTGTAAAATGGGCAGAAGTCGTCAATAATAATGGAAATTATTTCGAATGAATTGATGGTTTTGCGTTGAATAAATTTTAGTTCAAAGTCCTGCAGTTTTCAATTATTAGGCTATCCAGAAAGTCTTTTCATTTCTTTTCGTACTTCTTTTTAAAACCAACTTTACAAAACTTAAATTAACTTTACAAATCCAACACTCTTTGCGGGTTTTTCTGGATGTTTTGGGGATGAACGGCTTTTGTCGCTGTGGAGCAGTGGATAGCGCGCCGGTCTATCGCCCATACGATCCGGATTCGACCTCCCCGTGCGACTCGAATTGTGCTTTTTAACAAAATCCAAAAGCACGTTGCACAACTACATGTAATTCCCTATTCAATGGCACAAAAATCATTGCAAACGGTCCTCTAGAGGCTGAGGAGTAGCGCGCACAGACAGAAAGACGGACAGACAGACGTCTTAGTCCTTTTATATATAGTAGATTAGTTTTCTATTATGTTCAAGACTCTGATTATTCTCCAGACTTAAACTTTATCCTTTTTTTCGCAGCATAACAGCATATTTCTTTGGGTTTTCTTTTCGCGAACATCAATATTCGTTTCCGAAGATAAGGATGTGACGTAAAATGGAAGCATTCATTTCTTTCTTTCTTTCTTGCTTTTCTTTTCAAAAAGGCAATAAGAATGAAGCCTTTCTGGTGTAAAAATGGAACAAGAAATGCCAAAAAATGATCGTCAAGAAACAAATTGCTGGGAAAACATCGAGATCAATTTTTAGATATTTTTTTTTAAGATTTACGACGTATATGGAAATTTTGGTGGTAAAAAAATCTCATTTAAAGCATTTTTTCTTTTTGTGGGTTCACCTACTATTTTAAAAAGAATCATTTGGTTTTTTTGGAATATCTAGAAGGTTAAAATCATGAATGAAAAACGAGTCCTAGTCATTTTTGACGACTTTAGGTGAACTTGAAGCTCTAGTGGATTCTTGACGTCATCTGTGCTACCCATAACTAAAAAATTGAAAAGATTTTGGCAGTTTGCCGTCAAAGATTTGTGTGCGGCTCAAAGAGCTTTCGTATAAAACAAAGCTATGATGATTTATGACTTCTTTATTTGTAGTTCTTTAGTTTTTGAATCAAAATAAAAGAGCAGTGTCCGTCTGTCCGTCTGCTATTAGGTTGGCAAGTTATAAACGATCGTTTTTCGGGAAATCTGTTTTCTGAAAAACGGGTTATCCAATCAAAAAACGGTTTGCTTCATTCAAAAGCCCTATCCTTAATCTACAAGTTCAAAATCCTGGTTTCTAGCTAATATATTTTTGAGTGATTGCATACTTTTTAAAATAAAATGCTTCATCGATTACATAGTTTCCCAAAATTTCAGAACAATCCAATCTTCGGACGGTTGATTTTCAAATTAGACTCAAAATGCACTTTTGTGCTAATTTAATCCATTTTCATTTGAATTTAAGCAAGATTAAAAAAAAGATTAAAAGAAAGAGAACGGCTCGATCGATTGGATTGTTCTGAAATTTTTGGGAAACTATGTAATCGATGAAGCGTTTTATTTTAAAAAGTATGCAATCACTCAAAAATATATTAGCTAGAAACCAGGATTTTGAATGCTAGAAACCAGGATTTTGAACTTGTAGATTAAGGAGAGGGCTTTTGAATCAAGCAAGCCGTTTTTTTGATTGGATAAGCCGTTTTTTCAGAAAACAGATTACCAAAAAACGATCGTTTATGACTTGCCAACCTAATATAATGTTTACCGTATTTTCTCTAATAGTAGTGCACCGCACCGAGCCGAGTTGATGCCTATTTTACCGTTTCCAATTTTTCCCAGATGCTCAACACTCAAATCCCCACTAGCTCTCATCGTCAGCAATATTTTCCGACCCCACATCGATACGTCCTGATAAGCGGTTCTCGAGATTTCGAGCAATTTAGACGACGATCTGGGTGCAATACTATTAGAGAGAAGACGGTATTCTGTATTTTCTCTAATTGTAATGCCCTCTCCCCCTGCCTCCGGCCGAGCCGAGTTGATGACTAGTTTATGGTTCCCAAGCTTTCACAGAAGCTCAACACTCTAATCCCCCACTAGATCTCATCGTCAGCTACATTTTCCGACCCCACATCGATACCTCCTGATAAGCGGTTCTCGAGATTTCGAGTAATTTAGACGACGATCTGGG